TTATTGAATCGTGCTAGGTATAAAAATTTACTATCTTTAATATTTACTTTACTATTTACTAGGTATAGTAAATAAATAATCGAGGCGCATTGCGTAAATCTATTCACCGAAATCAACAAACGGTTACACCACTCTTCAAAAATGAGCTCGCTAATGAGTAAATTTAAATAATAAAATAGCGATTTTTCGAACAAATATATTAAGCTGGAGAGAAAGCCCCCAAACGATAATATGTCACCAGTCACTGAAGTATAACACAAATATTCATAACATAGACATTATGCATAGCAATCGGTGGAGCTTCACAGATGAACTTTCTCATGCAAGTCGAAAGTGTGCCGAGATATCGAGCAGAGGCAGCCACACCACGGCAATTGTACAGAGATATCGAGCAGAGACAGCCACACCACGGCAAGTGTACAGAGATATCGAGCAGAGGCAGCCACACCACGGCAAGTGTACAGAGATATCGAGCAGAGGCAGCAACACCACAGCAAATTGAGCGTCACGAAGCATACAAGTTATCGTACAGAAAGAATCGTTAGCGCTCACATATATAGAGCAACTCTGGGAAAAAATTCGCCATTATTGAAAGCGTTAAAATAATGATATATATTGTCGATAAAACGGTCAAATTTCCTGAACGACTTTGGATTATATGACGTTGTAAAATTTACAAGCAGGTTAGTCTGACGTTGCCCGTGATCGATGAATTTTGTAATTTCAGCATTTCTTTATTCATCATAAATCCCGTGAATTATAATTAAGCTAATATATCTGAAATAAAGCGAGAACCGATCTACCCAAAATTTTACATGTACTTGCCAGTACAGACTCTCGATTCGAAATGAGAAAAAAATCGTCTTTTAAATTGAATTTGAATATACGAATTTATGAATCAAAGTTCAATTTTTATCCAATCCTTTGCTCTGAGTTTGTCAATACAAATGTATGGCACTATTACTATAGTGCCATACATTTTCAGGGGCAGGTAATATCGCGACATCATATGTATTCAATATGTTTGTATTCAAAGATACAAGCAAGCCATCTAACACTGACAGAATCACGCAAACAAATTTTGACAAACATAATAATAAATAATAAAAAAATAATATATTATTCATTATAATAAATGACAACAAATAAATATAGTAAATAAATAATTATAAATAAGATATTCACCACGATTGACTCCGATTTAGGACGCAGTAAGACGAGAAAGTTCGCAGGCCTCAATAACTCCCAGAAGTGAGACTACTATAGTGCGGCCATCATCAAACGAGATGCCATCAAATATTTCTCAGGTCATTTGATGGAAGTGTTGTTCGGCATCATATTTTAAGCAAGTGATATACTCGAATTTTAGCGACAAAAAGTATAGCATAGCTTTAAAAATGAGATCGGCACATGGATCGATAGGAAGAAAGTGAGCCGAAAATGGGATACAATTCAAAGAATTTATAGCTGTCAACAAATGACAAAGACTGAAGATGGTGCACTGTACGAAGTAGAAAGCGACGATCCTCAATAATGGAAGTTGGAAGAAATTTCTTTGGTGAAGGGAAGCTTTTGTGCATGGAACTAAAATCGAGAATTTTCTATAATGCACTTTATGAGTAAAGACAGTCGTTCATACTATTTATACATTTAATAGTATTAGATGGCAGAATTTACTTGTCTATACACGTGCGATTGATGACCAGAGAATACGTTGATTTATATTATCAGGGAGTGGAACTTTTCAACGAATATAAATCAACGAATTCTATGGTCATCAATCGCACGTTTATACATTTAAAAGACATTTATTAAATTTAATTAATTTCATATATATATCATATAGATTATATTTAATAGGTATTAATAGAAATTTATAGATTATATTTTAAACTCATTTGTAAAGAAACCTGATAAGATCTAGCAAGGACTTGTCATCCGCCTTGCATTCATCGATACGAGCCTCAAAATTAGCTAAAATGCAATTTTAATTCATCGTCATTAATTTGTATGATCGCTTGTTTGTAGCGCATAGTATTCTTGAGGATTTGAAACTGGACTCCGCCTACAGGCTTCTAAAAAGTCTTACATAAAATAGTACAGTACAAATAACAGTGTACAGTACAAATTACAGGGTACAGTACAAATTACAATGAACAGTACAGTCAGTACATGGTATAGATTGCAGGATTCGATCTAAATGAGACCGAGTTCTTTGAATTACATTTCAGATGATTGAAATATTAACATATGTACGAATTCCGACTCAACGTCCACACACAAAAAAAAATACATTCAAACGTGATACATAACGTGATTTCGAATGGACTTTCTATTCAAGTGTTTATCTCATTAGCTTATTAGCTTAACTAGAGACAATCAAATGAGTGTATTTGAGGATTCAAAGACATTAAAAGATAAGTTGAAAATTTGGGCCTAGTGAGAAAGATTAATTGCAATAACTGACCCAATTACTACACGCAATCGTTAACCACATTGATTTATTATAAACAAAGAAAAAATAAGGTTTAGATCTAGAGCATCTAGCATCTAGATTTTAATTTGGCATTCTAGCGCATCCTAGAAACGTTCTACATCGAGAGCAGCCCAACGGATACTGCACCGACAGCAGGTTTTACAAACACGCCAAATAAAGCATCTGTAAGTGACGGTCATGATTATACTGATCACCTCTAATGCGGTTGATCGGCCCACAACCTGATCATTATCAACGAGGTATCTTAAAAACCCGGTTGTTATTTATCCGTATCGTCTCCTCCAAAATATTGTTGTCTGAAATTTTATTTCTTGAAGCCACAGCGAGTTAAGAACCCGGTTGCTATTTATCCGTATCATCTCCAAATAGTTTCGTTCAAAATTTTATTTCTTGAAGCCACAGCGAGGTCCAGTTCACAAATTTAATGGGGCAGACGGGTCTGATCTCAATAGCCCGAAGTAAGCCCAGTTATCCGCCCACGACCTTATCTAGAGCACAAGTCCCGTTATATAAGTCGGTAAATTCAACAGAATAGCCGCCGCAAAATCGATGAAACTGTCTGCTTTACGGCCACCATCTTGCGGCCACTGCGTCTAAGCCGCTATATCTTTCTAGCACAAGAACGGCATTTATAAATATTTAATTTCGAACGGACCCAATATAACCCGATTATTATGAGCAAACTCTATACTACATATTAACCAACTAAATGGTCAGCACAATAAACATACTACACCGTGATGGCGTGAAACGCTATTTGTATTCGTTTCTGAAACATTGTATCGCTATTTGGACAAAAGTCACACTCATTTCTCTGAATGCAGATTGTCACAGACTCGAACTCGCAAATGCGGCCCAAGAAGCACCACCGGAAGCGCCCTTATAACTGCACCCGCCATCAGCGAGGTTCCCTCGAGCACCGCAAGTTCAGAGGGTGCAATTCTAGCTCATCCCGAGACGTCCGGGAACGCTTGGGAAACGACATCACGTCGGCACCTCCGACCAATTACATGCAGAGAGCAGCCCGCATTATTTCCTTGGCAGAAATGCAAGATTTGAGCCAAAAATGAGGTTTAACGGAACTCTCCCGCAGTGGGCGAGTTTAGAGAGTTCACGACGAACGCGGATGAGGTTGTAATTACGTTTAATGTTGTCTAGAATTATTTTTTACTGCGGTTTAGTTATGACTTTCGTTTATTTAATGACAGTAATTAGTTTGAGGTTCACAATTTTTCACTAATTATGGAATCATTTGGGAATAAGATATTATACCTTCAGTTAAAAATACAGCAAAGTTTTTCTAGTTATAGATTAATTTAAGTGAAACTAGGCATTAAAGTGTAGTGCATTTTAAGGTTAAGGTGCATTAAAGCCTGCCGTATCATCAGAGGTTTTACAGAATTATTTGGTTAATTAGTATAATTAAGACAGAGACGATTTCGAAATATACAAACTATTTCCATGTACGATGAAATTATAAAATTACTAATTCAAGTAATTGTTTATAGTTATAGAAATTAATTTGTAGCAACAACTGCGCCGACCAAATGAATGACGCAGTGCCGTTTGAATGCATCATGCAGAGAACATCACATAATGAATGCTCCTACAATCTGATAATGAAATAATAACATCAGAGTTATTTTTCGACAGGAAATACTTGCACGTCGGCTCGTTTTGACAAAGCATGTACTCAGTTCCGGAGACATCATTTGAAAGATATCACCTTTTAACTAGGCACTATGGTTTTGGAGCTCTGCACTCATTTATTTGTAGTGAAACAACTTTCTGTTATAGAAGTAACATCGAACGGGAAAATACGTGATAAGTTAAATCAGACCAGAGGATCAGCTAGGATACTCATTAATCGATTTGTATTTAAGTTTGGTGGACGTCAGAAGAATGTATGCCTCAGGCATACAACACAATTAACCTTAAGAAAACAATTAACCAATTGAGAAACAATTAACATTAAGAAAAAGCCACCGGATTTCGAACAGCGCACCAATACGAGTAGACCACACTCAGTTATATGTTGTGCCAGTGACACTTAATTGTCCTGTTACACTATGTCAGCCTGCATCGCTTCAATATTTTCTTAAATTATTATTTATTTAAAATGTCACAAAAGTATTTTGCAACATCGCTTCAGTAATTGTGATGAATTTAAGAGGGTACCAAGCATTTTGCAATTAAGTATTGATTCAGTATTCTTTTAAATTGTGATGTCCAAGCTCGTCCTAACGAGTCAACGTGTTTTTCATGCATGTGCTCACTGCCATACCCTTGCAAGGAAGACACACCAATATAACATGGATAAAAAATACATAATTTATAGTTACGTCGAGCACAGAATATTTTGCTGCAATACACCCAAAAAAAAGTTATGATAAAATTCAGAAACGTTTTGCATCAATGGAATTAACAATGGGAACAAATGATACTATATTCTAGTAACTTGAACAAATTACCTATGAGAGAAGAAGTTACTTAAAAAACTCACCTGACAAAGAATCTCTCCAGTTTCGAGCTTCTCGAAGAAATTATCAGCATTGATGTCGAGCTCATACATGCAGTTGAGCCACTCGGCCAGGTCTTCTCGCATGGCATAGAGGTAGTCTTCAGGGTTCTTGAAGGGCCGGAAGGACCTCTTCTCGATCAGTAGGATGGAGGAGTCGCCTTCATCGTCCAATGCACTGCGCCCAGATGACGAGGAGGTCGTGTGGGACAACGGTGGATGGCTGTAGGTAACCTCCATGTTCTGTGGAGACGCCCCAAGCCCAAGGGGGTCTGATATAAATGAGTTTTTTCGAGGGGTCGTGACAGGAAGATTTAGGATTGCAGGTTCGACGATGCTTTCCCGGTCAGATGTGAATGGATCAGAGTCATGCTGAAATTCTGATTTTTTAGGAGTGCAATCGGCCAGAGTTGATGCATTCTTCAAGCCATCAGTGAAGATTCCATGCGTACTGGCTTCGGTTTGATGCTCAACAACTTTTAAATCCACTTGCTGGTCAGCGATCGTTGATTCTATCTCATGATTTATGTGTTTGGACGTTTTGAGGGCAGATTCATACGTATTTACGCAGGACACATCAGATTTGGGAATTATGGAGCAATCGGAAAGTTTATCAGAGAACACAGATTCGTTTAGGAATTGCGGATTTTCTTCTAGCATACACGATATCACAGGATTTCTCTTATTAAGCTTAGACACTCGTTTATAACTAGGAATAAAGGCAAGAGAGTCGTCGTCGGAAGCAGAACCACGACGCGTGTGTTTATCGTACGACAGAGAAGGTCTAAGTGAAGTTTCGTGATGGCCGTCAAGAGGGGCAAAGGGCGAGTTAGTTGTCTGTGGATTAGATAGCGATGAAGCTATCTGATTGATAAGATAAAGGCTGCTGGCTGTAGTAGAATCTTCTTCGAGTTCAGTGGGGTTGTAAGAGTGAGGCGAGACGCCGTTCGTCAGAGAGTTAATCTCAGCGTTCAAGAGTGGACTGGAGATCATGGGACTCATGTCACCCATCTTGATTAGATCGACTATACCCTGAAGAATATCTGATGCCGTGCACGTAGAGGACAGGTGTTTTAATCCTCTTCAAACTGAAACAAAAATAGAAGAATTGTTACGGATAAAGTCCTATATTTCGTTTGACATGTAGAATGTTAACATCGATTCAAAGTTAATCAGATCAAAATTACACAAAAATAGATAACATGTGGTGCATAAAATTAAATACTTTGTTTAAACTTTTGAATGTTAACAACGATTTGACGCTCAACAGATGAACAGCTGAAATGTTTATTCTCGACATTTTCCCATAATTTCCATTGCACTCATATTTTTATTTATGGGTTCATTTAGGACTAGAGGACAGGCATGGAGGGGGGAAAACCTTACAGCTATTTTCTCTCCAGGCAGGCATGTGTTCAAACTGCAATCCAAGCTCCAGCGAATAGTTGCTTTAGAAAATTTAATCATGAAAGCTCGGCCATAACATTTCAATAAAGAGACATCGTGTAGCATAGTTACACTGTACGATAATGTAATAGTGCGATAATAATGTAATGTACTAAACACTAGGTATTCATTCAAATGGGGCTCACGTGTAACTAAATGGTCATGTTCAAAAGTTGTATTATCAATTATATTATCTTACTAATACTATATTTGTTAAATATATAAAAGATGGAAAGATGACCAAACTTTTATTAAATACCCAGTAGCAACAACTGAAGCCATACGTGCTCGCCTAATTGATTATTTGACTGTAAAATTACGTCAATATGTTCCTGTTACTGAATAATTTCAATTTTTCTGTATCCTAGAGATAATTTAGTCATAAGTAACTGATCAGCGACAATCAGTCGTCAATAATAGCGGGATGATCACCGATCGTAACGATGGCAGCGTAACCGAAACGGGCAACAAGTGCGCGAGAAATCAAGCAATCTTTAAATTTTGTTCATTTTAAGGAAAAATTAGCTCTGTGTTTTTTTTCTTTTTTATGCTCACCAGAGTAACAATTTCCACATGGAGCCAAAAACTTCACATTTATCGGAGTTCTTGCGTTCAAATTAATATTGAATGCAAATATTAATCTCAGAAATCCACTAAAAATAGCTGCTCCCATTATTGATGTTGGATCCCAGTGTCGCGTAAAGTACGGCATTCAAAGACTGAACGAAACTGGAGAATAGTGAAGGAGCAAATTTTACAATATCCTTGAAGTATGGTCTCTCGAAAAGTGAACGAACATGAATGTCCATGCAGAATGATGAAAAAATCATTATATTTCCAAATACGGCACACGATGAGTTTACGTACATTAATGTCCATGCAGAAGGATGAAAAAACAAATTTAAATTATATATCCAAATTCGGCACACAAAGAGTGAACGAACATGAATGTCCATGCAGAACGATGAAGGAACAATTTTTACATTATAGTTCAAATTCGGCACACGATGTATGAACAAATGTATACGCCAGCGTATGGCCAACGATACCGCAAGAACGTTACCGTTGTACGGCACTGGCGAACTGATTTTTTGCCGCTTCGTGATCTTTTTATGGCGAGTCGTGTTCATTTGCGCGGCCTTGACATTCCAAAACCGGACATTTGAATAATTCTTGTCATACCTCGAGCTCAATCATTAAATTTTTAATCGTGTATCTCATGCTGAAAGCAAGAATTAAAAATATTACTATAAACCAACCGAGAAGTCACATTAATAAAATCGTTTTAAGATTATCAATTTTGCCGATCGATCGCAATTTAATTTGGTCTGAAATTCATTTCATGTCGGTTTTGTAACCAAAGTATTAATATATGTACGATTATCGCAAGTTTTATTATTAAATTGAATATAGGATACATTGGTAAAATGCCCATGTCTGCAATCTTCTGAACGCCTGTCTTTCTATCTTACATTTACGAGGTTGCAATCATCTCAGTATAATCAGGACTAAGATCCTGACATCGCTATTTCAGCTCACGCAATCAGTCTATATCGAACAATACGTCGTACACCGCTAAATATATATCACATAACTTAGCTTATATGGTCATAGCTTTGAGATTACATCCCAGTATATAGAGATTTCTTAAAGAAAAACAGCTTTGATTTCCAAGGTGGTTTTAAATTGATGAATGAACATTTATATTTTGTACATTTAAGCATAAATGTCGCGATAACAGGAGAAATTGAATTCTAATTAAACGTTTCTACAAGTATTTAAGGCAAGTCATTTTTTAACATAAAATGTATTAGAATTTGATAGTGATAAATATATTAAGGAAATTAACGATATTTTTTATTGAAAACGTTTATAGTCCAGTTTCATCAACATACAGTGCATTTACATGTGAATTTTCTTTCCTAGTAAATTATTTCTTTCACTTCAAAATAGTTTAAAGTGACCTATAGCAAACCATCAAGTGCATAATTTCTCTCTACTCGAGTACTTTTATATATATATCATTTCATTGTTATATTTATAGAATATTGAATGGCTACCAACTACCCTCATAGCCAGTAATATTTTCAAAAATAATAATTGAGTAAAAACTTTTAAAAAGTCCCAAAAAAACGATGGACATAAGATCAAGAAAAAATTTTAAAATTGGAGTTTACGTCAGTAACTGAAATTAATCTTAAATGCATGTCAAACTGTGGATAAGCTGATTTTCGCGCCCTGATTTTAAAAGTGAATAAACTAACATTAACAAATGTTAGTGTATTTGCTAAGCAAATACACTTACATTAACAATTTTTAATCGTTAAACTAATCCCAAATTTGTTGGGATTCAGGGAGACCAGGCGCTTGAGAACCTCCTAAAGAACCAATAAATTGAGTGTAGTATATTCTTAATGAACTACATTTTAAATTTTCAAAGTAGTTATTATCTAATAAATAAGGGGGAAATAGCCAAGTAGACATGCATTGGAGCAGACCATCCGTTAGGAATAGCGGTCTGGAACGAGCCATCAGCTGATCCAGACTGTAGTGGTGTCAACATAATCGATAGCACCACACACTCTACGGCAATCACGCTCTTGAAAAATTTATTCTCTGAATTATATAGAATACAATTCAGATAAGATCCATTGCGGAATACTAAAGTCAATAAATAAATACACAAACAGTATGATACTTAGGATTTTTTTAGAGCAGTTGCATTCATATACCAAAGGGAAGTTACCCTCAAAGCTCAAACCGAAGAAAATTTGCTCCAAATCTCTGTTACATGCCAGTAAAATAAGAATAGAATCCTAAGAATAAAATATCAGAGGTTACTTATGAACTAAACATTGAGAAGAGTAGACCAAATATCAAAATATCATTACCTAGAACTACACGCCGAGTGAACGAGCTGCTGAACAGCGCACTACCACTTCACTGCACGAGGGCTACGGACAGACTGAAAGCTTGGCTGTAACAGGCAGAGGCAGACCGTGGCAGCAGCGATGCCTCCTGCGTCTCCTTGATGCGATCTGCACGCACGCATCCTTGAATTCCTTGGGTCTTGGACCTAGCGATGATGCTGCAGCTGCTATGAAATAGGATACCCAAGCGAAGAATATTGATTTTGAACTGGTGATTCCTGTACAGAAGTTATTATGTAATTAATCTTTAGTGAAATAATTGTCCAAGTCTACTCTTCAAGTGCACATTTGGAAAAACAGTCAGCTGATCGCACCTAGTGTTCATCCAGCGGATTAATGGGCATCGCTTTAATAATATGCGTTTTAAAATAACTTTTTGCAGACAATACTTCCAATGATTAAAGGGTCTGTGTCTGCTATGTTACACATTTACAATTAATTTCTAAAAGGTAAATGTAAAAAAAGGTAACTTTTTAAATTATATATTCTGTCAATTGATTATTGCATTGTCTTCGACTTTACGCATGCGAGCAAAATTTTAGATCGATTGGAGAGGTAGAAGTGTTTCAAATATTGATTATAAGATATGGAGCAGACAAGCAAACAAGCCACAAGAAGTGAAGTTAAAGAGAAGTGTTGTAAAAAAGTATTTGCGTCCCATGAAGTATAAATATAAGCCAAATTGAGCCAGAATTATGCTTCATAGTTCGCCTTCTCACCATTGCAGCAATTTCTGTCATGGTGCATTACATAAGAAATTGCTGTCCTAAAAAGTCATAGTTCGTCAAACAAGGTTTGTTTTATATATTTACTCACTAAATTTATTTAATCGAAAATTTGTGACAATTAAGGGTACGTTATCTCAAGAAATAAATGTTATTGTACGTATATAAAATCTTCATCAAGAAGGTGGTCATTTTGGAAATGAAATTCCATGTAGAATAATATTCAACCGATATTTGTATTAACTGTTGGCGACTATTATTTTAAAAACACTGCTTTGTAGTTGAATATTTCGAAGTCATGACGAAAAATTCCTAACAGGTAAAAATAAGTATTTCTGCTGATTCAGCAGTTTCACAATGAACTTGACCTTTGAAAAGAGCTATTTCAGCCAATGAATATATTTATAATGTTCATTTGAATTTCCTTTGCGCCTATCTTTTTTTTTGGGGGGGGATACATTTTAGCTACCTACAAGTACCTAGCCCAGGTATGTTTGCGAAGGGAACGTCTCTGATCCTCTCAATGAAATGCGCTTCGCTGCTTCATCTGGCAGTTTCTCTGGCAAAGAACGTAGAATCGCATTTGTTTTCGGCGTAGTTTTAAATTTTTTGTCATTTAAAAAATGTTTTAGTTGTGGATTTCTTTGGCTCAAACCATTTTAGAAAACTAAATTAGCTCTATACCTCGAATTGGGGTAATATAAATGTATTACTAACTACCAAGTTTAATTTGTTTAAACGACTACTGAGTAGCCTAACCTGGGTAACCTGCACCGGTCGGACAAAAGCGCGTGGGCGTTAGCGTGGGTTACAGCGTGGGCCAGCCCGGCCCTGAACCTGCCCTATACCAGCTCTCCCTTTAGCCACGTTTTATTCCCTCAATTCGTAATCAATAAATATGATATTTAATACATGGTATCACATGCTTATTGCGCAGTCGCGACGATTTTTTTTATAATTTTAACTCGTCTACTTTGCAAATAAAACGGTAAAACGGGTGCAAACGGGCAAATTCCGTCACGTAGCCACGTTTTATTCCCTCAATTCGTAACCAATAATTATGAAATTTGATATATGCTTTCACATGCTTATTGCGCAGCCGCGACGATTTTTTTCATAATTTTAACTCATCTACTTTGCAAATAAAACGGTAAAACGGGTGCAAACGGGAAAATTCCGTCACGTAGCCACGTTTTATTCCCTCAATTCGTAACCAATAAATATGATATTTAATACATGGTTTCACATGCTTATTGCGCAGTCGCGACGATTTTTTTTATAATTTTAACCCATCTCCTTTGCAAATAAAACGGTAAAACGGGTGCAAACGGGCAAATTCCTTCACGTAGCCACGTTTTATTCCCTTAATTCGTAATCAATAATTATGAAATTTAATACATGGTTTCACATGCTTATTGCGCAGTCGCGACGATTTGTGTTACATTTTTATACCCTCCCGCTTTCAATTGGAATATAAAATATGATTTTTCACCTCCAGTCAAACGCTCTGCTTGGGCAGTTACGAGCACCGTTCGTGTTTCGTGAACATTACCGTTTAGATTTTATCTGATTCCCTCAGTGTACGGCGCGCACTTCAAACTGATTAGCATCGCTCCATTCCCTGGATATTTGCGAACAAGTGTAAGTTTTTACAATTACATTCCTGATTACGACAGTGGGCGAATTTAAATAATAATTAAGAGGTACTTTCATTTGCTAGATAATGTGTTAAATACACTTGTGAGTTGTGACGAAGGTTGAATTGACAGACAGTTAGTACCATTTCAATTCTAAATCTACTGGCAACTGCCGAATTTGTTTTGCGACTAATATTTCATGTATCTTATTACTGGTATGTCCGATNTTTACCGTTTTAATTGCAAAGGAGATGGGTTAAAATTATAAAAAAAAATCGTCGCGACTGCGCAATAAGCATGTGAAACCATGTATTAAATTTCATTATTATTGATTACGAATTGAGGGAATAAAACGTGGCTACGTGACGGAATTTGCCCGTTTTACCGTTTTATTTGCAAAAGAGATGGGTTAAAATTATAAAAAAAATCGTCGCGACTGCGCAATTAGCATGTGAAAGCATATATTAAATTTCATAATTATTGGTTACGAATTGAGGGAATAAAACGTGGCTACGTGACAGAATTTGCCCGTTTGCACCCGTTTTACCGTTTTATTTGCAAAGTAGATGAGTTAAAATTATGAAAAAAATCGTCGCGGTTGCGCAATAAGCATGTGAAAGCATATATTAAATTTCATAATTATTGGTTACGAATTGAGGGAATAAAACGTGGCTACGTGACGGAATTTGCCCGTTTGCACCCGTTTTACAGTTTTATTTGCAAAGTAGATGAGTTAAAATTATGAAAAAAATCGTCGCGACTGCGCAATAAGCATGTGAAACCATGTAATAAATATCATAATTATTGATTACGAATTGAGGGAATAAAACGTGGTTAAAGGGAGAGCTGGTATAGGGCAGGTTCAGGGCCGGGCTGACCCACGCTGTAACCCACGCTAACGCCCACGCGCTTTTGTCCGACCGGTGTAACCTGCTCGGTATCCCTTCGTCCCCTGCAGTTGCAGGCTTGCAGTTGTGAAGAGGAAAATGATACTTCGTCATATAACCATGAACATCATAGAACATGAAGCAACAGAAGCATAAACCATTGAATTACCATATCCATAATTCCATAGCATAGAATGCAGGCTATGCCGCCATTTTTCCAGGCAAAAAGAAACCGAATAGCTGATAGCCTGATAATTTCTAAAATATTTCTTTCTTTCATTCTTTGTCAATACCTAGCCTATTTTTTTTAGGCTAGTTTGAGACTTTTTCTGTAAGCTCTAGTCTAGCCTCAGACTCATAGTGGCAAAGCAGAGAGTTTTTTAGACTCTCACTCAAGTTCATTTTCAAGTCCTATAAGTATAAGTAGACCAGTGATGTATCATGGATACCATCCCTATCATATGTAAGAAAATGGTTTGAATTTTAAGCAAATGAGAAATTAAAAATGAACTGATTCTAAAATGTCTCTCGTTTGCCACTATGGCCTCAGTGCCTCCTAGTCTGGAAAAGTCCTATTTTTGTCTGAAATATCGCGGCTCTAATATCATATAATTTCAGTAGGTATGAAATCTCGTGGCTCGAATGTCATAAATTTTTGTTTGATTAAAAAATAAAATTCGCATTCGCACCTCGTAAATGGCTTTTCATGGCCGAGATATGGAATTCACGGCTCGGTGAAATAGAATCACGGCTCGTAGAAATGGAATCACGGCTGGCAAATCCATAAAACCACGGCTCAAAAAATTCAGTCGCGGCTTGCCAAGTAGATATATTCCATACTAGAGTGCCTCACTGTCTAGTGTCTAGTGACGTCTACTGTCTAGGTACCGACTATTAACATAGTGGCAAAGCAGAGAGTTTTTTAGACTCTCCCTCAAGTTCATTTTTGAGTCCTATATGTAGACCAGTAAAGTATCCTGGATACCTGCATTATTATACTTAAGAAATTGGTTTAAATCTTGAGTAAATGAGGAAATTAAAAATGAACTGATTCTAAAAAAGCTCTGGTTTGCCACTATGCCGACTAAAGGTACGTAGGCTAACCTAATAGTAATACTAGTAATAGTAGGCCTACCTACTAATTTGTTCTAGCTACCACAGGCACAGTACTGACCATAGTGACAAACTAGAGATTTTTTAGAATCAGTTCATTTTTAATTTCCTCATTTACTCAACACTCAAGATTTAAACCAATTTATTATGTATGATAATGCTGGATTGCTGGTATCCATGATACTTTGCTTGTCTACTTATTTCTATTCGCCATCTACTTTGAAAACTTCATCTACTTCATATACTTCACGTACGCCAACTCATTCACGGAGTTATAGGACTAAAAAATGAACTTGAGGGAGAGTCTAAAAAACTCTCTGCTTTGCCACTATGGTACTGACAGTACTACAGTACCACTATATATAACTAATATACCTACTACCTAGTAGGGTAAACGCGGTATATTCCGACACATTAAGGATGCATCGAAAAATGAAAAACTATATTAAAAAAACCGTATGCGTTACGTAAGTTCTGTTGCCTTCACATGACTCTCAAAACACTTCACTACGCGTCACGGCGTCAGCAACGATGAAACGCCACAAAATGTTGCCATATTTATTAAAAAGCCTTTAGAATGGAAACCTACCAAATCCCTATATTCCGTCACTTCATAGTGACAAACCACAGAATTTTTAGAATCAGTTCATTTTTAATTTCCTCATTTACTCATGATTTAAACCAGTTTCATATGTAGGATAATGCAGGTATCCAGGATACTTTACTGGTCTACATATAGGACTCAAAGATGAACTTGAGGGAGAGTCTAAAAAACTCTCTGCTTTGTCACTATGCGTCACTTTGTGTGGCAATATTTGCCACATGGTGAGTCGTATTGCGTCAGCGCTTCAAATTTAACTGATACGTATTGCCGACATCCACGTGTTCGAATTCCGTTTGCTGTGTGAGCTGTATTGGGATACAACACGGCTTTGAATTAGAACACTAACGAATATTGAACACTACTTAATTACGTTTTAATTAACAGCTATTAGGCTTTTAATTAAGCAAATTTCAATTTTTGTACAAAGCTTTGAACGATCTGTGTGTGTCCAATTCAAGTTGTGTCGGAATTAGTTTT